AAACAAAACAACAACAAAACAAACAAACAAACAAACAAAAAAACGCTGGTGGCGCAAGACTTTGCGTCGGGGTGTGCTTTGTTATGTGTAAATTGCCTCCCAGGTCCTGTATTCATGGTAACCCCATATCCTTCGTATGGTGTTATTGTCAGCACTGGAACGATTCCACTTCCTCACTCACGCTTCCGTTCCCTCTTTCTCTCTCGCTCTCTCTCCGTTCCCCTGTGTTGTTCTCTCTCTCTCTCTCTTTCTCTCCCTCTCTCTGATCACATTATGATCATCCATGCTCAAGCTCATTCACGCTCAGATGCACTCACGCTCAGACGCAACACACTCAGCCCACTCATACCCAGACTCACCAACACTGAGATGCACTCGCATTCGGACTCCAGGGGGTAGGACATTTGCCCGTTCGCGCCCAGATTGTGGGGATGTCTCGAGGTTTGCCTGTTTGGTGAATCAGATGTCTCTGTTTTCAGAGCCCCATGAATCTCATGATGAAGCAGGCGCGGCATGTGAGCACCCCGAGGCGGAGCCGCCAGACGGGCAGGAAATTCGTCCGTTCGCGCCAAGATCGTGGGGATGTCTCTGGCGGTTTGCCTATGTGGTTGACAAAACCTGATCTCTCTCTCTCTCTCTCTCTCTCTCCTGTTCGATGTTGTTCTCTCTCTCTCTCTCTCTCTCTACATCTCTCTTCCGGCCTTCCTGTTCATCTCGATGTAGCAAGCGTGGCACTTGAGCACCCCAAGGGGGAGCCGTCGGGGGGTGGGACATTTGCCCGTTCGCGCCAAGAGCGTGTGGGATACCTCCAGCGGTTTGCTCGTGTGGTTGGTCAGACTACCATCTCTCTCTCTCTCTCTCTTCCTCCGTCTCTCTCTCTCTCTCTTCAGGGCCCAGTGCACCTCGCAATGTAGCAGGCATGGCTGTTGAGCTCTCCAAGGAAGAACAGCTCGGGCGTAGGACATTTGACCGTTCGCGCTAAGATCGTGGGAATGGTTCAAGCGGTTGGCCTGTTTGGTTGAACAGACACTGTCTTTTCAGAGCCCCATGCTCATCGCGATGTAGCCTGCGTGGCACTTGAGCACCCCGCAGAGAATCTGCCAGGGGGTAGGACATGTCGTGTGCCCGCTCGCGCCCAGACTGTGGGGACGTCTCAGGCGGTTTGCTCGTGTGGTGGCTCGGACCCAGGAGCCCCATGACCACCACAACGTATCAGGCGTGGCATTTGAGAAGGTGCCGCCAACGGTGGGGACATTTGTCCAGTCGCGCCCAGATTGTGGGGATGTCGCAGGCGGCTTGTTCATTTAATGGCTCCGACCCTTCTTTTAAGAGCCCCACTGATCAAAACGAAATCCGCCGATTTGGTGTGTGAGATAAGAAGAGCCTGAGCTTCAGCTAAGCTTTTCTGGGGGGGGCGGAGGCGGCTCTGCCGTGCAAAGAGGGGAGGGGGGGAAGGGCGTGCACTAAATTCCCCCCACCCCCGGGGGAGCTTCAGCTCAGCTCTGCTGGGAGGGGCGCAGGGGTGGCTCTGTTGGGGACAGGGGGGGACGGTTCCAGGGATCCTCCAGGAACCGGGGGGAACGCTCCAACGCTCCAAGAGGCCTCCAAGAGCACTCCTAAGAGGGCCTCAAGAGGCAGAAGTCATCGATATTGCGTGGGTTGTCGAAGGACGTTGGCGTTCTCGCCGTTTCGGCTTCGCGACACTGCAAGACGGGACCAGAGGCACCCAAGATCGCCCAAAACGGCCTCAGAGGCCTCCAAGATGGCCCTCAGACGGCCCCAAGATGTCCTAAAAGGCCTCCAAAACCGCCCACAAGGCCCTCAAGCCGGCTCCAAGAGGGAGCCCAGACGGAAGACCCGAACGGACATTTCCAGCACTCCGCCCCCAGAAGCCCCCAGTGGCCCCCAGGAGGCCTCAAGAGGCTCCGAAAAGACCACCAAAAGGGCTCCGACGAGGTCCATGCACAGATCGTCCGTCGTCCTCTTCACCGTCCTTATCCACGTGATTGTCATCGTCGTCGTCGTCGTCCCTCGCTCGCCATCGTCATTCGTTGTCGATCGTCGTCACAATCGGTCGTATGTCGCTCGTTCAAGTCGTACTTCTTCGTGGTTCGCCCCAAATAATTCCTGCGACGATCGTCGCTCGCTGTCGTCGTTGTCGTCGGTTGTCTTCGCCGCCGTGTTGCCGTGGCCGCGTTCGTATGTCGTCGGTCGTGAGTCGTCGGTCGCCGTTCGTCAGCCTTCGTCGTTGTCGGGCGTCGTCACCGTCATCGTCGATCGTCAGTCGTGGGTCGTCATTGCTCCGTCGTGCGGGCCGCCGCCATCACCAACCGTCCTCCTTGCGTCGTGCATCGTTCGTCCTTCGACATCGTTATCTTCGTCGTCGGTCGTCGTCGTCGGTCGTCGGTCGTTGGTCCTGGCTCGCTGTTATTCATTCGTCGTCGACGTCAATCGTCCTCGTCGTCAATCTTCAACCGACGTTCGTTGTTCGTCGTCGTTGTGAGCATCATGATCATCACTTGACGCCATTCCCAACAACAGCACGAGCGCTCCGTATCGGCGGCACCAGCCGGAGGCCGCTCAAATAGAAGGCGTGGCGCTGTGCACCCCAAACGGGAACGCCAGGGAAGGGGGGCACTTGCCCGTTCACGTCCTGGTTACGGTGATGTCTCAAGCGGAAGGCCTGCTTGGTTGAACAGACACTGTCTTTTCAGAGCCCCATGCTCATCGCGATGTAGCAGGCGTGGCACTTGAGCACCCCGCAGAGAAGCTGCCAGGGGGTAGGACATGTCGTGTGCCCGCTCGCGCCCAGACTGTGGGGACGTCTCAGGCGGTTTGCTCGTGTGGTGGCTCGGACCCCTCTGCTTTGAGAGCCCCGTGATCACCGCAGCACATCAGGCGCGGCATGTGGGCAACCCGAAGAGCCGCCACCTGGGGTGGGCACATTTGCCCGTCGGCGCCCAGATTTGTGGGGACGTCTCAGGTGGTTTGCTCGTTTAGTGGCCCAGACCCCCCTTTTTCCGGCCATCGCTCGGACGTCCATTCCCCGTGCGTTGTTCGATGTCGTGCGTGTATCCTTTCGCCAGATGATCCACGGCGCTCCGCGATGGTCCTCGCCCAGAAAACATGCACACGTCCGTGCGATGCCAAGTTTTGAGAGCCCCATGATCACAGCGACATAGAGGGCGTGGCACTTGGGCACCCCACGGGGGAGACCCCTGGGAGTGGGGCACTTGCCCGTTCACGCCCAAATCGTCGGGCTGGCTCAGGTGGCTTGCTCGTTTGGTGGCTCAGGCTCCTCTCACTTGAGAGTCACTCGAGAGCCCCATGATGAACGCGACAAAGCATGCGGGGCACTGAGGCACCCCAAAGGTGAGCCGCCAGGGAGGGGGACACTTGCCCGTTCGCGCCCAGACTGTGTGGATTGTCGGGGGGGTTCGAGAGGTTCGCTCGTGTGGCGCCCCCGACTGCTCACGATTGGGAGCCTCATGATCACATCGACATAGCAGGCATAGCACTTGGGCACCTCCACGAGGAGCCGCCAGGGGGTGTTGCACTTGCCTCTCGCACCTAGATTGTAAGGATGGCTCGAGAGGTTCGCAGGTTGTGGCACCACCGACTCCTCTCCGTTCCAAAGCCCCATGATCACCGCGGTGTACTTGGAACAATGTGTGTGCACCCCAAGGGGGGGAGCCGCCCGAGGGTGTCACACTAGCCAGTATGCGCCTGGATCGTGGGACCTTTCAGGGGAAACACTGGTCTAAGCACCCCTGACCCCTCTCCTTTCAGACTCCCAAGATCACCCCGATGTTGCAGGCATAGCACTTGGGCAATCAAAAGGGTGCCGCCAGCGAGCGCTCATTCGCCACAGGCGAATATTCTCCCACGCCACAGATTTCGCACCCCCCCCTTTCCCTATCACCCCCGTCGCGGAGTGCAGAAGCCGTGGGGCGCCCCTCGGCGGCTGGAACAGAGGCGGGGACCACTTACTCCTCTGCCTCCGCCTCCTCCTCCTCCTCCTCCTACTCCTCCTACTCCGCCGCCTCCTCCTCTTCCTCCTTCTCCTTCGCCTCCTCCTCCTCCTCATCCTCCGCCTCCTCCTTCTCCGCCTCCTCCTCATTATCCTCCGCCTCCTCCTCCTCCTCCTCCACCTCTGCCTCCGCCTCCGCCTCCGCCTCCTCCTCCTCCTCCGCCTCCGCCTCCGCCTCCGCCTCCTCCTACTGCTCCTCCTCCTCCTCCTCCTCCTCCCCCTCCTCCTCCTCCTCCTCCTTCTCCTCCTCCTCCTCGGGGTGCCAGGATTGCTTCCGTGTGCTGGATGCGTTATCGTTTCACCGGGAGGGGGGGGGATCCTGAATATTTTCCCTGGGTCACTGGACCAGAAAACGAACGACACCACCCCACCTGCGGCCCAACGGGGCTTAGCGTATACCAGGAAAGCTGGCGCAGGTTGTTTGCGTGGTATGCGCCACGGCCCCCGATGGGGCATAGCGCAACATGGCGGGCCGTAGGTGAGGTGGTGTCGCTTGTTTTTTGCTCGAACTACACGTATCCAGAACAGGCGAACACCGTCGGACCTAGGCCAGAAGAACACCCCTCGAGAACATGGGAGCCTCCGCCGGCCGAAACGAACCGAATTTCCAAGGGTACCCTCCACAGGATGCACAAGGACATCCATCAGGCACGAAGACCAGCAGGGCACCCGGTCCGTTTGCACGTGCAATGCCCGCCCCTGCACTGCCCACCCCTTCTGCCTCCGCCGAACCTTGACCGGTTTGGGCGCCCGAAGAGGGTACGGAAAACACAGGTCCGATGTCAAACACCAAATGTTGTCCAAAACCGCCAACGGCCGCTGTTGGGCAGCCGGCCGCGCGTCTCAAATGGGCAACATCCGCGGGGACACCGACAGCGAGTCCAGTCCAAAATGAACAGGAACTGGCGTCGGTCTTCGTACCTATCCTTTTCGTACCCACTTCGACCGTGCCGAGCCCGCGCTCTGGCGCCTCCGCAGCCGCCGGCGCGCCAGGCGATCGCGAGC